TGTGAAGGGAAACCAATTGCCATCGAGTTGATTCTTACTCATGGCAACCCTATGTGTGCCAGAGTAGAACTGTGTGCCATAGAGTACTTAATGGCTGATTTTTCAGAGGTATATAGCCAGGCCCTTCTTCTGAGGCATCTCTGGGTGGACTCAAACTTCTAAACTTCCAGTTAGCTGTGGAGCGAGCATGTTAACTATTTGCACCACCCAGGGACCCCTCTGTGAAGGGAAGGGTGGAAAACTTCCTCACCTTTCTAGGTATAGAGCTTTTCTCCTCCGTTCTCAATCAATCCTGGTTCCTCTTAAGTCCTTAGAGTTTCTCTAGTGAACTCTGTGACTTGTGTGGGAAGAAGCAGCTGGAAGAGCTGAGCTTTTCATCTCTTTCCTTCCACTAGGCCGTCTGTCACCGGCCCTGAGTGGCAGCGTGTGCCTTAAGAAGGGAGGCTGCGAATTTGGCTTCGGCTCCCTCTTTTCCCGCTTTGTTGACAGTTCCTAATAACACTGCTGGCATCAGGGTTTTGCAGACACAGGAAGGAAGAGATGTGTTCTTTAATGATGGAAAGATATTAGAGCACAATACCCTTAAAATAGAATGTGTGTGCCTAGTTTTTATTTTGGGGACTTTATTGTTGTAACCATCTCCCCTGGGAAAGGCTGTGAGAGGCTCTTCCCCTTCAGAGAGGCGGAGTAATTGTGTAACCTGAGGTGTTCCCGAGAGAGCCAAGGAGATGATGTCAGCACACAGGTTTTTGAAACATTACTACTTTTTTTGTTGATCAGTGCTCCAATAGACCTCTCCTCTCCACACTCTGTTATCTGTAAAGTGAAATAATCATACATGCATTGCTCACTCCACTAGGCTGTTAGGAGGATCAAGACATATAATGGACAAGATTATGCCTGCAAATTGTGAAATGCTATAAATGTAAAAGTTCACTGTCATTGACAGTTGGAAGCCCTGCCTCTCTCTGGGTGATAGCATTCCACTTTTTTAATTTTTGTGAAACAAACTTTACCCACTTTGTTGAAATGCATGCTTTTGCACTGACATGGGACTCGATGGATGTGCTAAATGTTTGCTGTTCGCCCTGGAGAAGCGACACTAAGTTTTCCTGAGATCAGCCCACTTTATCACCACTCCATAACATGGTAAGGGTAGTTGTGATGAACTCCGAATAAAACAGAGCGTTTGGTTCTCGGGCTGATTTTTCATCATTTTTCTCATCCTAGGAAACCCTTGGGAATCCCACCTGTGTTCCCTCATGTTGGTTTCCTGGCAATGTTCAATGTCCAATGTCACCTCCAACTGTTTAATGCTGAAAAAGTCAATGAAAAATGCTTCTTATTTCATGGTTACCTAATTTTCCCCTTCATTAGCTTCTCTTTATTTGGACCATTATTGCAGGCTGTTAGCAGGACCAATGGCTTGCTCTGGGGATGATGCTAATGATTCTCAAGGGATCTGAGGGAGATTAGGAAAGATAAGAAATTCACTGGCCGCCTCAGCCAGGGTCAACAGGGCTGTGAGGGGACCTGTGTCCAGACTCCTTGGCAAAGGTCTTGGTTCCTGTTTCTGAGACTGCGGTTTATGACAGTTCATTTTGGGACCGTCCATTTTGAGACCAGAAAGTGCTGAGGTGGGATCCATGTTTTATTAGAAAAAGAGATGAAAGGTCTCCCAAAGGGTCCACCTTCAGCAGATATGGGGTTTGACCTCTGTGATATTTTCGGTTTTAGGCACCCAGAGGAACAGGCTGCCAGGACTGCATTTGTGTGTGCACATGTGTGCATGGATGTGTTTACAGACGGGGCTGGGGAACATCCCACTACTCAGCTGCCTGTCTTGATTTGCTCAGATTTCATTTCCATTTGCTAGAGAGACATCTGCACATTTTTCTGCCCTGCCACATTTAATGCACATCAGTTCAGCCCTAACCCTCTGTTGAGGTCAACAATCCCCCACCTCCAGGCATCCCAGGAGGGTTAGAGCTAAGGATATACAATATTCTAAATGGAATATTGAAGATCCCCATCTGTCTGGCAGTCCTGATCAATGAATGTGAACCCTCCCTTCCCACTTTTGTATAAGAGGCATGCCACCAACTGGTTTTAAGACAAGCGTGAGATGTGGGTTTATAAGGGTTGCTGAGTCCAAGCACCCAGCTGTCACAGTGCTGAGCCAGGAAAAGGATTATACTCTTAATCATGTTATTTTTGTTACTAAAGCGTTCTTTTATATTCCCCTCACCCTTTCCCTCAAGAAAAATGTACTAGTGTCTGAAATTGTAGGTGCTTTTCTGACACTTTTATTTCACTTGTTCAATGGCTTTTTTTGAAAGAGCTTTTGTTCAAGCAGTAAAACCTAGGCAATGTGGATCTGGGACATCTTGCTTGGCTTCAGCCAAATTATGAGGCTGAGCAAGGAGGCCAGTTTGTGTCCACTTGACATAGCACTTTAGGAAAGCAGGCAGGTCCAAGACTTCAGATCTGGCCAGCCCGTAGTGTTTCTTTTCAGTGAAACACTTAGCCTGTTGGATGTATTGGGACAGCTACTCCTTAGGGCCAAAAGTTTAAAAACACTCTGGAGAAATCTCCGGCCCTGTAACAACCAACCAAACACACTAACCAAAACTCTGGGTTGCCTGAGGGACTTCTCACATCTACATCCCTGGAGCCCCAGCTAAAATACAGGCGGCACCTGTTCATCCACTGTCACCTCTTCACCAGACCAGCAAAGCTGACTACGGCAAAAATGACCACTGCCAAGTATCAGATTGCTCTGCAGGGATTGTCTCCTTCAAGCCAGTGTGATCCCAGCTCCTGCTTCACCGTCCTGCCTTGGCTCAGATGAAGGAGTTTGGGATGTCCAGCTGGGGCAGGGCGAGGTGGTGTATGAGGGCTTCCTAGGAGAAAGGATGACTAAGGGAGAGGGAGAGGCTGTGTGGAGGTGGTGTCAAGTCTTTCTAGCTAGGATTGTTCTAATGATCTGAGTGAACGGGGGTAGAGACATTGAATTTGTCTTTGGAAGAGTGGCTTGACTGCCAGCTTTGGGATCATGGGTAAATCTCTTCACCTCAGTGGACCTCAGTTTCCTTCACTTAGTGTCAGACTAGCTGTTGCCTATTACCTCAGTTCTACGATAAGACACTTGGGTATAACTGGGTAGGGCAGACCTGTCAGTCACATAAGGAGAAGGAAGCTCTTTTGTCTGGCAAGAGAGGGGACAATCACAGAGATGATTCATTTGTTTCCTAAAGAATCTGAAACCGGAGGTGGGGTTTTCACTTGTGTCGCATCTACTAACTTGAGTGCTGTTATGGATTGAATTGTAAAATATGCATTATAAATCCTAACCCCTGTACCCATGGTTAAAATCTCATTTTGGAATGGGTTTTCTGTTACGTTAGTGAGGCGGTATTAGTGTAGGGTGTATCTTATGTCAATCTCTTTTGAGATATAAAAGAGCAGAGCAAGCAAGGAAGCAAGCAGAGATGGGGGAAGACGGTTGCCATGCTACATGAAGACTGTCAAGGACCTGAAGAAAACGCTGGAAAGAGACAAGGACCTTCCCCCAGAGCTGACAGACAGAGCGTTCCTCTAGAGCCGATGCCCTGAATTCAGACTCAGCCTCCTAAACTGTGAGAAAATGAATTTCTGTTGGATAGTCACTCACTTGTGGCATTTCTGATATAGCAGCACTAGATAAGGAAGTCGCCATTGGACATATTGCTCTGCCTGCCCAAAGCCTCTCTGTGGACCAGTCCATTTTCCAAACTACTGCTAGGTAGCTTCTTAAAGCACAAACACATGTGTTTATTTGCTGTTTCATACACTCCAAAAGCATTCTGCTGCCCTTCAGCACCTAAAATCTGAGTACATGGCAACCAGGCCCTTCCTTGTCTGGCCCCACCCTCTTTCCCAGCCTCGCTCCTCCATAAACCCTGCTCAAGGCCAGCTAAACTTTTTATGTTTCACAAACACAGCACACTTGCACCTTTGCACAAGTTATCCCCTCTACCTGGGCTAGTTGTCCGGAGAATTCCTGCTCATTCTGTAAGAACCAGGTGAAATGTAACCTCCTGCCACAGATGTCTGCCATCCCTGCCTGTGGTATTAATGGGGAAATGTCAATTTCCCTTTGTAAATGAGGAGGCAGAAACTACACCCTATTCAGCTTTGTGTCTAACAGTGCCTCACACTATGGGTGGAATTCAAGAAACGCAATTAGACATGACTTATCAAATGGCTACTGGACTTGGCTGAGACTACTACAGGTGTGAACCGAGACCTCAACCCACAGCTTTCCTACACTCAAACTGACCTGAAACATTTAAAAAAATTGTTTCAGAAGGTCAAAAGTAAAACTACTATAGCTGAGGACTATTAAATAACTGTTTTAAAAATATCCCCAAGAGGAAAGCCTGATCTAGGCATTTCATATTGCTATTCTGCAAAATAAAAATCAAGTGCTGCATCCCAATATACCTCCAACTGTGTCTTCTGGGTTATCAGAGATAAACGCTAACAAGGAGTAAAATCCAGCACCCTCCATCTTATTAATATGTAAAAAGGCTGAAGTCACATCTGTGCTGAGATCTATTTTTAGTGGACCCTACATACTAAAATCCTAGCCTTGATCTCTTAAACTATCAAGCCTACCATAAATGTTTGATGATGAACAAGCCCATAAAAAGAAAATGCATAAAATGAATACATGGAGTCAGTGCGTGCTCTGCCTTTTAATTACCGGTGGCTTTTGCTAAAGTCCTGCTCCAGGCTGGGTGTAGGCAAAGAAAACACATCAATAATTTGGTGTGGGAGGGGGGTGTACTGCAAACAAATGCATCTAACTGCATGGTTATTTATGCTCTGAAAACCAGACAGAAATGGAAGAAGAGTAGAATCATACAAAAAAAAAAAAAAAAAAAGGGAGGGGGAGGGGAAAGAGTTAAAAAGGGAAAAAGTAAGACATTAAATAAAAGCATTCAGGACACAAAAGATAATGTAGAACAGTCTGGTTTTATTACTTTCAAGTAATAAAAGAGCCTTGTCCTTGCTTTTTTTCCCTTTTTTTCTTTTCTTTTTCTCTTTTTTTATAACATACATTAAGTCATGAATCAGATGTTAGGGGATGTGGAGATGAAGAGAAATTGGTGACATCACAATATTTTTACAAGTTTACAACAAATATAAATCTGAGTTGGGTGTGTCTACCAGTGGCTAGCAGGGGTGGAAAGCAAAGGCACACTCAGGTTTATGGACCCTCCCCCCCACACAAAGTGGGGAAAAAAAGGAAAGGGGGAAAATACTTAAATGCTGAAGACCTGCTCAATGCGTATGGGCATTTTAGGGTTAACATTGTGACGTGATGGGTTGTGGGATGCAGGAATGTGGAAGGTCAGTTTTGACACAGATTGACTTAACACCGCTGAGGCAGTGATGCCCACATACACCGGGATGAGCTCATGGCTCTGTCAGCGGGTGGACACTGCACCCTCAATACTCTCGGGAGTCAAGCATGGGGAGAAGGTAGCAGGGCGATGTGTGTGTATATATATATATATATCCATAACCTTCCTAACGTTTGCATTTCTAGAGAAAATTCAAGGGAAAAAACAAGATCTGTTTCTAGAAAAGACTTCATGGTTTCATGGTATAGAAGTCATAGGATGTGACCATTGAGTCTACTAAAAAAACCAAACCAAAGCAAAACAAAAACAAAACAATAACAACAACAACAAAACTCTACCCTGAACAACAGCAAAGAGCAGTGCCTCACCCTCACTCCACACTCAGGCGACCACCATTTTCTCACTAGCCAACCCTGAATTGTCTTTGTCAGTCTTTTTTTTGCAATTTTTTTTTTTTAATTAAGGAAAAACTAAACCCAGAAGATCAAATTGTAAATAAGTGACAGAGACCACCAAATAAACTGTTTAGCTGTTTAACAAAACAATAACAACCAACAGCAATGCTCAAGTTTTACAGTATGACAATTCTTTTGTTCATCATGAAAGTCCCTTCTTGTGTGTCTGAGCAAATGAAAACCAAGGGGAGAAAAACACACATCCTCGCCCCCTACAAACAACAACAAAGGGATAAATTTTTAAAAAAATTAAAAATCTTTTGCCCTAGTCAACGTTTTGCAGCATTGATTGTGGTTGGCCTCGTACTTAGAGTTACTCATCACAGCAGGGACCAGCCTGCCTGCATTGACTTCCATGTCATTTCTTTGTGTGCACTGCACATGTGTGCTGAGCACATGGCTTGGAGACCCCTCCCAGGTGCCTATCTGATGCACACGGGGTGTTCTCCAGCAAGTGGACACTACAGAAATGAAGAATGAAAGGGACACTAGTCCCTTTCCTGCTGGCTACGGAGGATATCACCCTATTGAAATGATCTGAGAATAAAAGGGACACAGGGAGCTGTGGAGGAAGAAAGGGATTTGCCACCCACAACCTGGAGTCCATGCTCGGCAGCAGCTTGGCCAAAGCGTGGTTCAAGTTGGCACAACTAGAAGGAAGGGTGAATTGGAGGGCGTGGTGTCCCCAGCTTTCCTGGGTGATGGGATTGTAACGATCACCACTGCATTCTTCTTCCATCTGCTGGACTCCAATCTCCCAGAGGGCTGGAGTGGAGGCGGAGGGAGGAAGCGTTAAATAAATATCTGCATTTATTTCAAAAGGGGGAAAAAGTTTATCATAGCGACAGTTTACAAGTGTACACAACTCAGGGTGTAAGGCACAAATTTACATGTGGAAAACAGGCTATTCACAGATGTAACCCCACAAAAAAGCCGTGTGATCAAACCATTAGTTTATGCAAGGTAGCAGCCAGCATATTAATTAGTTCACACCATTTGTGGATTTTGTCTGCTGTCTCACATGCAAGGTGAAATGAGATGGCGAATCACAAGCTGGTGCCAGATAGTAGTAACCACTGACAAAGCTACGTTGTCAGCAATGGGACACAGAGGATGTCCAAAAGTTTCTCTCCTGGTTGCTTTAGAAGTTAGGATCTGGAAGGACTTTTAAACTAATTAATTTTTTGCATGTTATTAGGCCAGAGACCTGACCAGCAAATTAACTGATAGATTTGAATAAATATCCCCGTCTTAACTCTTTCCTTTAGCTAGAGATCAGACAGCCCAAACACAAAGCTCAGAATTCCAGCTCCAACTTATTTACTCAGTGAATTTATTGTAAAAATAAAGAAACTTAATTATTCCAGTTAATGGATTTCACGTTAAATAGTTTAACTTCCAATGGGCTTTCTGAAGAGCTGTTCATAGGATGGTATGCGGAAGAGTCCTTTCCTTAAGGAAAAAAGGGTGAACAATAAATAAAGAGTTACTTGCGTTAACGGTCACGTTATTCATTAAAAAAGAGGAGGAGCAGAAATCTATGACATAGTCGCCCAACATGGCATTAATCTGCTATAACAGAAAGCTGTAACACTGGTGGGCATTTCACAGTATCTGCGCATAGTAAACTTCTGCCATTGTTAAAGTCTGAGTTAGAATTATCAATGATTTCTTTATTGTTTTGTCTTTTTAATTTTCATATGTATTTTTTAAACGTATCTGTGTTTTGCAGGTCGGAACACTAGCCCAGTTTGGCAACACCCCATGCAGTCATGGACAAAATGTTGTAGTTGCTGTTCACCTCTGCGTGTGTGTGTTTTGTGTATAAGTGTGGTGTGTGTGTGTGCATGGGTGGGTATGTGCTTTTGGCTCATGTTTGTGATGATAATTTAAGTCTTTTGCGAGTCCAACCTGTTGCAGGGTGTGAGGGAGAGTGAAGGAAGAGAATGGAGGTGAGTCCCGCAGTTGCAAACCTTCACCAAGCCACATGGCCCATTTTTCGAGAGTATCCCTGTGTCCCAGAGAGGAGGACCCAGTGTCCTCAGCTCTGCCGTGAGCCATCTTGGTCTGGTGGGTACTCTGAGGCAGTTGAGAACCTTGCGGAGCTGAGCGGGCGCCTCGCCTTTCCTGCTGGTTCGACACCTGACCCCCTCCCCCTGGGATTATGTACACGCATCATTGGGCTTCATGGATGTGGAAAGGGGAGCAAAGGAAGGTTTGGGAGGTACGTCCGGCTTTAGCGAGGGAGTACGCTTCAGCCCCGACCGCGTCAGTGAGTTGTAGGCATTGAGGCTGGGCTGCCTCGAAACAGTCACGGCCTGGCCCGATGGCTGGGAGCTGTGCACCTGGATAGAGTCCACCCTCTGTGGGGCGGGCGGTGGGTTGTCTCCCCTGCCAAAGCTCTGGTTTCTGGAGAGGTGGGAGGAATTGGAGGAGTTAGTATTGTTTCTTTTGAGAGTGGTGGTCTGGTGGCTTCTCGTGAGCGAGTTCGTGGGGTAGCTCCTCTTATAGTCAACCCCGTAGGAGGAGGAGTGGTGCATTTCCAGCCGCTTGCTCAGGCCATTCTGAGACAGGGAGGCTCCTGGAGGGCCCAGGGAGGCTTCCCGCTGTGGAACTTTGGGGGGCATACTGTCCAGGTTCTCCACGAGGTTCACCCCATGGTTGGGACTCTTGCTGCTGAGATGCTCCTTGATGGTCTTATACTCCAGGGTGGCAGCCTGGTCCTCTAGCGCCATCTGAGCCACCTCACTCATTTTGGGCTGGTCCACGTACTCATGCTGGTAGCCCTGCTGCGTGATGGGGAGGACCACTACACTGGGGATGTGACTGGGGGAAGCCCGGAGGGGCAGGTCTGTGGGAATCACAGGGGAGGCCATGGGGGGCATGTCCTTTGTGCAGGCATTGATGAGGTTCTGGTTCCTTTCCCACTCGCGGCTACCACGGCTGGGCTTCCGCTTCTGCTGCAGTGTTGGGGTGGACTCTGGGGTGGGCAAGGCTGCCAGGTCCAAGTGGTGCTGGTCAGCCTTGATGAGCATCTTGGCCGTGTTGCTGGGAGTAGCGAGCTTACCGTTGTGCATGAGTGGTGTGAGGATGGCCTCTGGCTTTGGGTCTTTGGACTGAGTGTCCCCAAAGAGGCCGCTGAGCTTGGTCACACTGCTCATGGAGCCCCGGCGAGAGTGGGTGAGCTCCTTCTCCTTACGCTGCACCACTGTCACGTCTTTGCGCCGGTGATCACAGATGCAATAGACGATGATGCCTGAGAAGACAGCCCCCATGACAAAAGCCAGAATGACTGCAATGGCCAAGAGGGTGACAGGAACCAGCTGGTCATGGCCTTTGAGGTAACTTTCTCGAATCACTCCTGCAATAGACATCACATATGGTGTTAAGAAATGAAGCACACCACCCCACTTATTTTTGTTTGGCATTCACCCTGTTAATTAATAACTGTAATAAGTGACAATAGCACCTCTACGTAACTTGTCTACAAGGCACAGCCTGCCAAACATTAACTAATTAATCCTCCTGAAGGCCTCTCTGTGAAGTATGTAAATAGACTTTGTTTTTTGTGTTTTGAAAAAGTGCTTTTCACTCTCTCGAGTACATGCTCTTTCTACTGTGCTTCACTCCTTGAAATACAGCAATTACGAATTTTCAAAATTCATTTATCCCTCCTTTCCTTTTCATCTCTTTTTAAATCTTCCCCTCACAGAATTGGGATAACCCAGATACTTTGAGTCTGGAGGAAGAGGCAACACTTTTATGCACATTTTTGTTGTTGTTGTTAGTTGCCAACTCGTGGTCACCCCGTGTGTGACAGAGTAGAACAGCTCCAAAGGGTTTTCAAGGAAAACCTTTTGGAAGTAGATCGCCAGGCCTTACTTCTGAGGTGCCTCTGGGTGGATTCTAACCACCAACCTTTCAGTTAGCAGTCCAGTGTTTAACCATTTGTGCCACCCAGGGACTCCTTTTACGCATGTTAAGTGAAGAAACTGCCCAACTCTTCAAGGCTTCCAGCAGGGCCCTCTTCTGAGGACCTCCTTGTGGGCACTGTGGACACTGTCTGAAGACAAGCTATGTTTGCATTTCAAGCAACGAGAGGAAAGAGAGCGTGTGTCATTCACAGTGAAAGAAAATAGCTAAAGTTCACAGATTACAAATGCTTATGCTGATTTTGCATCACCCCTCCAAAAATACCCCCCACACACTCAATTTCAGGTAAATATACTGAATATCTGAAAGAAGCTCCCTCCTTACTGGAACTGAAAAAATATTTAGGAAAAAAAAAGACCATCTGGGGCCCTGGAGTGGGTTTGAGAAGTGTCAGGTCCCATTATTACGGCTAGAGTTTGCTGTCATGGTGAACTAATCTCGTCAATTTAATAAAATTATGTGACTACATCCGTCAATAATCTTACACTACATTAACCAAGATGCTGCATTTCTGAAGAAAGTTACTTTCCCTGTTCCTGCTTAATCAGTCACCAAGCTGAGAGACTCTAATCAAATGCAAACACTGAAGCTTTTATTTTTTAATACCAAGTGAGAATACACATCACAATTGTCAGATCTTAAGTGCTTGACGTGGCAGCTAAAAAAAAAAAAAATCTCAAATACCACACAATTCCTGCCTCTGGAGAGTGGAAGAACACGAATACATTAGAGGCACTGCATGGGCTGAGGAAATGTAAACATTGTTCCTATTATGGAAATGACAGAAAGACAGAAAATGTACCTTCTTGGGTCTCAGGAGACATATTTTTCATCTTACTAAATCAACTCTTTCTGGAACATGTTTAATGTATTTTACTGGCAGATATCAGTGGCACAGAATTAGAATGACATGAAATAAAAATCTCTACCCCTTCCCAAACCCGCAACATGCAACCCTTAAACTTCTGCCAAAATGCTTTTATATATCACAGCCAAGACTTGAAGAAATGCAGCTTTGCCGGGAGGGTTCTTCTGCTAAAATATTTTGATTACTGAAGAGATGGTTTTAAAACCCAGAAACCTTAGCCTGAAGATTACGTTCTCTTTCTCTTCCTTTCTCCTTTCTAAACTGTCCTCCTCCCCTCTGTTGTGACATCACGGTTGCTGTGGAATGACTGTTCTGTGACAAAGGGTTGTGACTTCAGGTAGGGAATTAATAGAAGCAGGTATCTCTCAAGAAACAAAGATTCTCTGATTAAACAGATGCCCTTGGGAATGAAGGGCAGTCCAAGCAATTTGCCCTGCAGGAAGAGCGTGAAAGATGGTAAGACATGGAATAATTTCCAAATGTGTCACATTTCAAATATTTCCAGATTCATCTCTGTGAACTTTTTAAGGGGTAGAAACTAAGAAGCAAAAAAATAGCAGGGAAATTCAGCTATAACTCACACCTTTTGTGTGGTGGAGCTCCCCAAACTGTGGGGTGTCTTGCATTCAAATGTTTTTATACCTTGTCACCAAGGAGCTGTGCTAATGAAAAATCCTTCCTTAAATTTGCATTTCCTTGTTGTCATGCTAAAATGGCAACTGATTTTCTTTCAATTTTAATTGTGTATGGGGTTCTGTCGAACATCATTTTTAACCACCTACACATAATTGCACACAACTGTACACCTGTGAATAAAATGGGTTTAATTTCCCTTGTTGACTTGATGAATTCAGTGAAGTCTAAGGTAGGTTAGACCCTGCCCATTGTGGGTACTCGGTACATTTTTTTTCGGGGCAATGGAACTCTTCCAGGCATCTATATACAGGGGGGCTGTGTGTCTTCTCAATAAATTATGTATTTATATTATAGGTAACTATCTACAATTAAGGAGCCCTGGTGGCACAGAGGTTAAGAGCTATAGCTGCTAACCAAAAGATCAGCAGTTTGAATCCATGAGCTGCTCCTTGGAAACCTATGGGGCAGTTCTACTCTGTCCTGTAGGGTTCAGAGAGTCGCAGCCAACTCGACGGCACCTAAGAACAACAACACCTACAATTAGTAGAAAGATGTGGCAGTCTGCTTCTGTGAAGACTCACAGCCTTGGAAACCCTATGGGGCAGTTCTGCTCTGTCCTATGACAGAGTACTACTACACAGTCACTATGAGTCACTACTGACTTGACCGAAGTGGGTTTGTTTTCTTGGTTTTGAGTGGTGTAAAGGTTAACAGGCAATGCTGCTAATGGAAAGGTTGGAGGTTTGAGTCCACCCAGAGGCACCTTGAAAGAAAAGCCTGGTGATCTACTTCTGAGAGAACAGCCACTGAAAATCCTATGGAGCACAGTTCTACTCTGACCCAAATGGGGTCGCCATGAGTTAGAATTGACCAACGGCAACTGTTTGTTTTATCTTTCTTAAATTCGCAATTAATGCTGGCATTCTACAATTGAAATTGACCTCTCAGCTTAAGAAAGGATAAGACTGTAGCAATCATTTGTTTCATTCATTGTTTAATCGGAAAAGCTGCAAAATCTTCAAATCTTCACAGCTTCTTAAACCCTACTTTAAGTTGCAAATTTCATTCTCGCATGTCTGAGGGTTCCGGGTTACAAGGTCTTTGGCTACCTTAGACTCATGGAAATCAACTGCTCTTTCACTGGGAAATACTCTCTTTTTTTAGTGGGTGGCATTTGAGTTCAGGTTTTGGCTGTTAACATGTCAAGCAAGATATGACCTTTGAGGAAAATGGTGTCTCAGGCAGGTTTTTTTCCCAGTCACATTTTGTTACGTAAATAGTGCCCTTAAAATCCCTCCTCCTTCTCTTCAGCTTTTAGATACCCAGGGAGGCAGGTGGCTCCGCTCATCTGCTTGTGCAAATTCAGAAATCCCATGTCCAAAGTTAGAAACAGATCAGACACTAAATTGAAAGCACAGTTCAAGATGATAAGAATAGTTATTTTTGTAAAACACCTTCCAAATTTAAAGCTTTCTGCTTATATCACAAAAGAAGACAAACTAGCATTCATAAAAACGATCAAGTCAACCTTGTGACATTGGTCACTGGGAAGGAATGAAAACATCAGACTTGTCCGAGAGACCCTAGGAGGTGGTACAAGCAACACTGAAGAATATCTAAAAAGGCTTGGTTGAAGTCTTACACTCCCACCTACTGCCTGGGTGATCTTTTGGCAAGTGATTTAACATCTCCGGGCCTCAGCTTTTTCACCTGTAAAACCCCCAAAACCCATTGCCGTCTAGTTGATTCCAACTCAGAGCGACCCCTATAGGACAGAGTAGAACTGCCCCATAGGGTTTCCAAGGAGCAGCTCGTGGATTCAAACTGTCAACCTTTTGGTTAGCAGCGAAATGCTTAACCACTGCACCAACAAGGCTCCTTCACCTGTAAAGTGGCATTAAAATACTTAATCTTATTACTGCCTTGGGAATAGGTTATGACAAGAATCAAATGAAATAATGAATAGGAAAGAGCTTTAAATGCTTCAGTTTGCTGGGCAAATCTAAAGGTCAAAAGAAGCCACAAAGTAGAAGTGGTGCTTTAGTGGCTCACAGAAGGCTTAAGAGTGACAGTCACAGCTGTGCCATTTGATTCTATTTGCTATTAGTCTCCTAGGGGAGAGAGAGAGAGAACTTTCCTTCCCAGCTCCAAATCTTTCGTTGTCCATGTGGCCAAAGAGATGATATGTTGAGGCAATGTAAGGGGAATGTGCCCTGTGACACTACAGCTGGTTTAGAGAAGTTTTCAGGGCTGCCTATAGGTCCTGAATTTTGAAATGAGCAAATCAACAAAAAAGGGAAATGTTGAGCAAAACACTGATTATAGCTAGACTCCCAACGGAGCAATAATCCTAGAATCAGCTCCTTGAGGGCAAGGACCATATTTTATTTGCATTTATAACCCTAGCCATCCCCAGGGGCCTTAGTCAGGCACTCAGTAAATGACTGCTGAATAAATGGGTTTGCAATACACTATACAGAACTTTTTAAGTGGGCTTTTAAACTTGGTGGGTCATCTTTGGAGTGATTATCATCTTGCTTTTGAAGTCATAGAAATGAAGTATTTTTCCAATTGTGTAGCAGAATTTTAATACTAGCATCTATCAGGCAAATCAAAAGAAATCTATAAAGGTGCTTGGAATTTGTTCAAAGCAATAATAAAAGAAACTATTTTAAAAATGAAAAGAAATTGGTTCTTGCATAATTCCAAAAGAGATGATGAGGGTAAAATGGGTTATTTGCAACAAATGACTGCTCAGGTGGAGTTTATAGTTGGAAACAAACATATCTCCGCAAAGGGCACAGGCTGGAGCTGGGACAAGCATCCACTGCTTCAGACGCCCCATGGAAACCCTGGGGAGGTGGAAGGGCTTTGTGGGGTGGAATGGCTCCCTGCCTGCACTGCAAGGGGAAAATGAGAGTTAG